ACTACTAGATCGGACTCATAGTGATCCACCTGTTTACAGCCTCCCAGAGCTGGAATTACAGGCGTGCACCACCATGCCCAGTCTCAATTGCCATCTCAGTGTGCTCTGGGGGCAGGGTCAGCATGGCAAACCCAGGGATCAAACCCCCGCCCCTGTAACCTGCTTGCAGGTGCTTTAATCCACTGAGCTTTTCAGCTGGCCCATTTCTAACAATATTATAGAACTTGCTCAAGGTGCCAAGCAAGTTGTAAAGGTAAAAGCAAATTCACATAACCATGCCCCAAAGTCTAACGTTTTAATTAAACTATTTCTTTCTGGTTCTCCCCCTCACCATTTATTCTATATCACTGCAGTAGGAAAATCCCCTTCAGATATTTTGTAATTGAAATTGCCAGTGATCAAATTGGTGCTTCTTCACAGAGGCCAGAGAGAACCTACAAATGCCTCCCCTCTTTGCTAAAGCCCAGCCTTCAAGGCACTGGTTAACCCTCCCTGTACCTTCATAGTAGCATCTTTTTAGGCTGCCAGTTTGTGGTAACTCACTTTCAGAATTTCTGTCTGCCTATAAATCCTGCCAGCTTTTCACCTATGACAATGCTTTTCCCATAGCTAATGAATAACATGATTTCTTGGTGCAGTATAACTCATTAGTCCATTTCTTGGCCTTGGGTTCTTGGCAATTACATTAAGTTTTTCCGGTCAGCTCCCATCAGGAAAGGTGGTACATTCACCCACCATGTGAGAACGATCCTTTGGTCTCCTCTTTTCTGTTCACTGATGATTTCCCCAGCCTGGCTGGGTTGGAATCCACCTCCTGAATTCTCAGAATCTAGGATCATGAACAAGACTTGGTAACAGGCTGGTCCCTTGCCTTGGCTAAGCATTAGGAGCAGGAAGACAATACTGGTCCCGGGGAAGCTGTGGCTCCCGCACATCCAAATACCAGGCGTGTTCAATGAAAACCTGGGGTGCTCCGGGAGTCGGTATCAGCCCTGGACTCAGATTTCCTTCTTTTTCATTTTAAGTTCCCTACTATAGATCAAGAATGCCAGACTTTTCAGAGCTTTCATGACAGACTAGGCTGTGGCTTGCCCTGCGTTCACCATCACTGGTAGAGATAGTGCAGTTGGGGCTACAGGACCCTTCTCTCCAGGTTCCTGAACCTGGGCAATTCCTGGGGCTGATCCCTGAACTTTGCCCTAAAGTCTACTACTGGGAGCTAGTGATAAGCGTTACAAAGACTCCTGAGAGGGGCTGGGGAGATGGCTCAGTAGAATAAGCACAAGGGCCTGAGTTCAATCCCCAGTTCTGAAAAGAAAAACAAACAAACAAACAAAAAACAAAGACCTCTGAGCTTGCCTGGAAACTTCCAAAATCTCAAACTTGGACCCCTATGTGCCAGATCTGTTGACATGGCCTGCAATAACTTTTCTTCATTTTTTTTTTTTTTTTTTCAGAAGTGGGGATTGAACTCAGGCCCTTGTGCTTGCCAGGGAAGTGCTTATTCTACTGAGCCATCTTCCCAGCCCCCTTTTCTTCACTTTGAGCTCATTAAAAGCTCATGCATATAGACTTGCATCTCATCCAGCCAAATGTAACAGAGTGAAAGGTCATATGCAATGGCTATAGCTGTCAGCCTTGGTCTTAAGTGAAGAAGCCCTGTGAGGATCACAGAAAACTCAGAGATGACAGAAGGAAATCTTCAGAGTAAGATCAGGAAAGGCCAGAGTAAGCCTCTTCTGAAAAACCTCACTGTGTATTTAGCCACATATGAAAAGTATAAACAAAGAGTGTTTCTGAGATACTTACAATGTTTCAGGTTGGAGTTGTAGTGTTAGAGCACTTGGCTAGCATGTGTGGGGTCCTGAGTTCAATTCCCAGCACCTCAAAAAACAATTCACTGTTGGGTATGGTGGCACACACCTATAATCCCAGTACTCAGGAGGCTGAGGCAGGAGTTTGAGTTTGAGGCAAGCCTGGGCTACAAAGAGAGCTCCAGGCCAGCCTGAACTACATAGCAAGACCCTGTTTCAAAAAGATAAAACAAAACCAGAATGATTCTAAGTATGATTTGTGGTCAGCAGTGGAATTCCAACAAATCTCCTGCATGGTCACTGGGAGCCTCTCAAGCGTGTTTTGTGGGCCAGCAGCACCGGCATCACCTGGCAATGCACAAGAGATGCAAATCTTCTGGTCCCACCTGACCTACAGACTGCAGCCCTCCAGGTGCAGCCTGGGAGCCCTCTGCTGCTCCACCCTGAGGGAGGCTGACCCTCCAGTCTGCTAAGCACCACGAGGGTTTGCCAGCTGAGGATGGCCCAGAGGGTGTGACTAGCTAGCATCCCAGTCTACCCACTGAGAGATGAAGAGCCTCTCCTGGACACTGAATGCCTGCTGCTGGCCACACTATGTCTGGGACAAAGAGGACAGGATAAAGCATCACCCACTTTATTTCTGAGAAGGGCAGGCAATGGCATTTGAACACACTGAGCAAGCAGACTCGGGAGAAGTGCCTTGGTTGCTTGAGGTGGCCGCTGTGCAACGCCACAGACTGCGCGGCTTATCGACAGCGCAAATAGACGTTGCCCGGGATGGGAGGCTGGGATGCCTGCAGCTGCCCCCAAACCAGAAGCATCTCATCAACCCAGTTGCTGCTACTAAATATTACTAGCGGGCTGGTAGTCCCTTTCTCGAAACTACTTGTGCCACCCTGGTTAAGACATCATTTATCTTCAGTTAACGCATTCCATAGCTCCAGGCAGCTCTGGAGAGAAGCATGCAGTCGGTGCAGGCCAGCTGTGCTGAGCCCGAGCTAAACCGCATGGTCAGCAGAGGCAGCAGCCACAGGACTCCTCCTCATCAGCTTGCGGGGCTTACACCTCCGAGGTGGGGTCGCAAGAACAAGGATAAGCATCAGGAGGCCACGAGGCTCAGAGGTGAGACACAGGCCACAGGGCCACGGGGCACAGGCACACACTCAATTAATCCGTACCCTTGTGTGCTTGTCCTTGTGGGATTCACACTCCCCTGTGATCCCATTAAGCTTGCCAACACTACTCCTGCGGGTGGCCGGGCGGGATTGCTGGCTTGTATTCCAGTGCTGTCCAGGAAGTGTGTGCTGTCCTTTAAGCTCGGTTAAGGAGACCCAGTGACTGGAGCCCTCTGTGTTTACAGTAAATGACTTTACTGCATCCAGTTTCCTGAGACTGGGCCATGCCCAGGGCACCAAGGTGTATGGTGGCCCAATAACACAACGGAAAGCTTCAATCTCTAGTTCAAGCTTTGCCCTCGCGCAGGCTTCCCGTGGACTTCACCTGAAAGAGAAATGTCCATCTTTTTCTATTCCCTGAATTAATTATGAAGTCTCTTTCGTCGAGCATCTAGCTTTTCCCCATCCAACAGGAAAGGAGCATCTTGTTTTGGGATAATTCTGCAGTGTGTGTGTGAACAGCAGGAGGCAAGGAAACAGACCCCGCAGGCTGGCAAGCGGGAGCGATGTTTAGGGTAGACCAGCTGTTTAGAGCAGACTAGACGCCAGAACGCGCGTCCATGGCTCCCAGGGAGGCAGCTGCGAGGAGCCGGGATGGTGGTGCGGAGCCGAGGGGCTGGTTTTAGTAGTCGTGATTCCCCCGCTGCAGGGTAGAAGGCCTGATTTCATCTGTCCGCAGTGCCGACTCCCTGCTTGGTGCTGGTCTGTGCTAAAGACAGGCTTCCCTCGTCCGTGAGAGAGCAGGGCCGGCCAGGAGCAGAGGTCACTTCAAGTCGATGAGAAGAACGCGTGGGGCGTCAGAGCCCAGGCCTTGCGGTCCCTTTCACCGCTGGTTTAACCTGGAGCAAGTCACTCAAATTCTCACGGGGCGAGTGTCTTCATTTGTAGCAGGAAGACAGTACTGAGAGTGTACCTCTCAGAGGAGTGTTGGGAGAAGTGAATGAAGTGATCCGAGTGAAGTGCTCGCCACGAAGCCTTATTCGGAGCCTCCTCTGAACAGTACGAAGGCTCCCTTGCTGTCCAGACCACCGAGGTGTTTTCCACCGATATATAAGTGAAGAACCGCGTTCGTCCAGAAGGGAGCAAGTGCACGTGGTGTTTTTTTTTGTTTTGGTTTGGTTTTTTTGTTTTGTTTTGTTTTGGTACCAGGAATCGAACTCAGGACTTTGCACTAGGCGCTTAGGCCACTGAGCTATATCCCTGGCCCCCTAGCTGGTGTTTTGGAAGCTGCTGTCTGTAGAGCTCCCTGGATTTTTGTCTAGGGAAGGGTGAGAGAAGTCCTCTCAAACCGCTAGATGGAGGCTGATGGTTGTGCAAACTTTTACTTTGGGAACTACTGCCACCTTGTGGCGATGTTTCATGCTTGCACGCAATGTTGAGCATCTCGAGGTGAACTGGAAATATTCCAGGCAGGCGGGAGGGGAACTAAGGTGCTTTCTGCAGCCTTCAGGCACGTCCTGGGAAGTTCCTTCCAAAATTTCCCTTGCGGGCTCCTGGTTCCTCGGGATTCTCCACCAGCGAGTTCTGACTTTTACTAAATATCTCTTGGATGACTCGTGTTCAGAAGAACATAGAATTCTATGTGAGGCCACCAGTGGCAGGAAATAGGAGACTTTTTTTTTTTTCCATTTTATGGTTTTATTATATGATGTTAATATTCAGGACACTTCAGAGCACCTTATACTTCTAATCAGGTTTTTGGTAACTGGTTTTTAAAAGTGTTACTTGAATATTTTTCACATACCAGCTTTCAGCCAAAAGCACTACTCAGGGACTGTTTAAGCGATGTTAATTTGATTAAATAGTTTATCCTTAATAATCTGAGACATCAGTCCATGGATGGCTTCTATGGTGGTTTTACAGCTGTCTCTTGTAGCTTTGGCAAGTTTGTCTTCTGACTTTTGGTCATGTGTTTCTAAACCCAACATGAAACTTCCTCGGCCCAGTTGGGCTTCTGACTGTTCTAACTTTTCAGATAAATCAAACACTTGACCAGTGGTATAGTCTGCATTAGTAAGTAAGCTAGAGGAACTCAGCGTATTCACCCAGTATTTATTCCATAACAGCTCAAGTAATTTTCGATCCAAAGATGACTTGAAATATGAGACTTCTAAGGCATAGTATTGTTTACAATGTACACCAAAATCTTCTATTTTATTTAGTGGGATAGTTTGATATTCAGAAGGTCCTTCATCAGGAGGTTTATAGCCCTTTGGGTATGTCCTAAAAGCTCCAAGATTCACTTTCCCTGCAGATATTGTTCTTGTTGGATCAATCACAACTGCTGCAAAAGGTTCCTGGAACTGCTGGTTCAACATCTGTGTGCAGACATCAATCCCAGAAAGCCTACCGCCATACCCAGGGTGGCTGTGATACCAGCCAATTGCATTCTCAAGGCGGCCAACCTGTTTGGCATTTTCTATGTATGCGGCCATGTACTCATATGCAGCAGCTTGAGCATTTACTCGGGTTTCAGTGCCCTCTACAGGCAGAGCAAAACTGTCCATAATGATCATGGTTTCACCATCCACCTTTCCAAGCATCAAACCCATCACTTCCAGGTTGCCTCCTGATCTGGCATGCATCACCATTTTCAACAGAGCCAGTGCTGAGATTTTACAGTACTTAAAGTAATGGTGATCCTTAGTCCAGGGCTTCGCTGCCAGGATTTCTTGCTGCTGTTTTTTGTCGTATTTGTAGATTTCAATGATACTTTGGGCTTCCTGCGTGTTGTTGGCCAATTCCCAGGTTTTCTGAGCCATACCGCTCCCGGACGCCACCATCGAGGAATTGGAGAAACTGTCACCTTAACCAACCAAAACGCAACTTTACTTCGCTAGGTCTTGGGACGTGGGCCTCGGACCTTCCTCACTACTGATGCAAACTCTTCTAGATTCCGTAGGCAGCCATGACACCTAGGAGACTATTTTTAAAACCCTCCACCCGTAATATGCATTCAGTGTGACCAGGGCTGCAAACACCAGAGGTGGTCAGTGCTACTCAAAGCCTTCTGCGTATTAGTCGCCTGGGATATACCTGTTAAGGTCTAGCCCCAGCCCAAGGTCAACTGACACAAATTGCAAAGCTCTGCTGGGAATTCTAATATAGAGCCAGAATTGAGATCAGTTAAGAATTTGCATCTCTTCAACCTGTCTGGGGAAGGGGTGGTTTGAGATGGCCTTGCTGTGTAATTCAGGCTGACCTTGAACTCATTATGTAGATCCAGGCTGGCCTTGAACTTGCAGCAATCCTCCTGTCTCAGCCGCACTGGTGCTAAGATTATAGGCATACACTACCACACGCACTACCTGGCAAGATATTCACATTATTACCACACACAGGTGTGGGCTCTTGCATACTAGTGAATAGAAGTCACTCAGTTGAGAAGGAGGGTGATGGGAGAGAAAGAATGGGGAGGGGTCCGCTTGTGCACACACAGGGGCTGCAGCTTCCTTACCCTGCCCGGTAAGGCCAGGCCTGCCGCACACAGGCATATGCAGACTGGAGGACAGGCATGGGTGTGCAGGTGGGGTGAGGGCTCCAGGACCGTGCCCCTGGGCTGGACCAGCCTCTGTAAGTTTAGCAACATGATTTACCTTGCAGCGTTTCAGGCAGACGCATCTGCTTGGGAATGTCTGAGACCTCCCCTGTGCTCCAGCCTACAAGGGAAAGCACACAGCTGGGTGGGCGGCAGCAGCCTCCAGGAAGCTTGCATTACTCATCCAGGGTACAGAAGAAGAGCAAGGGGGATGGAGGACCCCAGCCCCTACACTCTGATGATGGGGTGTTACATGCATGGAACTGGACACACTGCACCTTGTCTGCCTGTACTGTTTCTCCATGTTTATTTCGTGTTGTGACCCCGCTAGGAAAAGCTGCAGTCTGGTAGATAAAATCATGGAGTTTTAACAGTGCCTTTCACTGTGCTTCCTGAATGGTGTGATCGGCTTTGCTGCACTGGACTTGGGCCCGAGCTGGAGGTGTTAAACCTTCGCTGGATACTTGTGGCGGTGGTTGCTATGGTGACAAAACCACCCTTGTCCATGCTGCGTGGCATCAACTTTCCTTTGGGATTCATTCACGTGGAATAGGGTGGCCCATGTAGAGTGAATCCTTGTCTCAGCCCCCTCATCTTAGCAGACAGGTCACATTCTCGTTTGTGGAACTCTCACTCAAGACCTCAGTCATTTAGCCAGTGAGAGAAGTATTCCTGAGCCCTGTAGTGAGTGTATACAAGTGACAATGGCAGGGAGCCAGTCCTGTCGCTTGAAGCTGCTTTTCCCATGAAGTTTCCTTGTCTTCTGACTGACAGCACCAGGCAAAACGAAGACACCATGGTGGTTTCTCTGCACTGCCCTCGCTGTGGGGCATCGTATCTCAGGTGCGGGAGCCGAGTCCCAGAGAGGGTGCACCTCTACACGCGCTGCTTTTTTCTTGTCATTCACACATAGATATGAACTGATCGTTGTTTCATTGTTATTTAAAGAAGGTGGGTTATTGCTTTCCGGAATTTTCCACCAAATATCTCCATGCCATGGTTACCCATGGGTAACTGAGTCCAAGGCAAACCAAACAGTTGACCAAAGACTGTTATTTTTGTGGGGGTGGAATTTGCTACAGCATCCAGCTGGGATAGTGTGTGTTGTGGAGGGTCCATACGATATGGCTCTGTGTCTACAGATGCTCCGTGGCTTCCTTCAGCCTCCTTTGCCTATCTGCGATGAGAGCTGCAGGAGAATCCTTTTCTCTGGAAGATGATGTGGTTCTCCACAGCCATCCCCTTGCTAGGCACCAGGGTCACTTGTGCGCTGAGAGACGCAGTGCACTACTGAACTGAAGATCTCCTTGCCTTGGTCTTTGAGGAAACCCTTAACCCCTCCCCCACTGTATCCCCACCCTAGCCCATGCCCCACCCCTACTGTCCCCAAGAAAAAAAACTTTTCACCATAAGCCAGTTGACTGAAAGATGGGGGAGCTTCTATCCCTAAATAGCCATCTAGCCAGGACGATGATTCAGAGGCAGTTTCTGCAGAACGTGGGTGATCTCCTGTAGGTGAATGCTTTCTCACAAGAGGAGGTTTGTGGTCAAAGGATGTATATCTTATCGTGTGTGTGTGTGTGTGTGTGTGTGTGTGTGTGTTACTGAGAATCTAACTCAGGACCTGGCATTTGCCTGGCAGGCACTGTGCACTGAGCTATCTCCCTAGCCCTGCACATCTTGTCTTAATTCCCTGGTCACGAGACACTTCCCAGTTTTGTAAATCTCAAGAACAGTAATCAATATTTCTTCAGCCTATTCTCACCATTGATTACTTTGCCCTGAGGCAGCGGAAAGGCTGAGGGGGACAGCTGCTCCACCACCCTCTTGCTGATCACCAAGTACAGTATCAAAGAAAACCTCCTTCCCCTGCTTACTGGGAGGAAAAGGACGGCATGAAGTTTCTAGGGAGGCAGGCACAAGACCAGGTCTCAGTGCCTGGCTCCAAATAAATTATGTTCTTCATGTTCCAAACTTACCGCTATTACTCCGTAGGAGAAAAACTTCTCCCACAGTTAAATGACTCCGCTGCTCTTGTCCCTGAAGTCTGGATGTACTTGGGTATTAATTTTCTCTCTCATTTTCTTCTGCTGCTTAGATCATCAGAGAAGCCTCCTTTAACAGTGTAGTGAAGCTGGGTGTGGTGGCATATATCTGTAACCCCAGCACAGGGGAGGCTGAGGCAAGAGGATCGTTGGGAGTTCAAGACCAGCCTGGGCTACACAGTGAGCTCAAGGCCAGCCTGAACTGCATAGTGAGACTCTTGTCTCAAAAAGACAGAAAAGGGCGCATGCGCCGCGCCGGGGCGGAAGCGCGGCGGGCGAGACGTGCGTGTGGGCTGCGGCGCGTGCGCCG